TTTACGCTCTGTTATTGAGTAATTCCGACCGATGTTAATAATCTAACTTGCTTACTCTATTGGGTGTTCTTCAGCACCCTTCCCCTGCAAGAAAACAGCACCCAGCGCGTATGCGGAAGCATCAGTGCGTAGTTTATAGGGTTTAGAGCCATCATTTTGCTGAAGGACTGGTGTGTTTGTTGAAGCATTTTTCAGTGTCTCATAGGCTTGTTTTTCCTCAGATTCCCATTTCCATGTCGAATTTTTCTTCAGAAGATTGCTTAAGGGCCTGGAAATATCAGCAAACTTGTCAATAAATAGTCTGTACCAAGAGCAACTTTGTAAGAAGGACTGAATCTGCTTGACATTTTGTAGAGGCAACATCCTGTCTATATGGCCGCAGTCTTCTCTGGATCAACCTGGAATACCGCTACTGGCAATCATATGTCATAGGTATCTAAGTTGCTGGTTGGCAAAGGTGCATTTCTTTCGTTTTGTGCGTAACTTGAATAGTCTTAACCGGTTGAAAATACACTTCAGGTCAAGTAAATGTTTTTCAAATGTCTCTGACAGCACAAAATTATCGTCCAGGTATGCCAATATAAGAATGTCAGCAAGTCCACTACAAACTCGATTTATCAGTCTTTAGAACATAGCAGGCGTGTTCCGCAACCCGAATGGCATAACCAAATAACGGAAAGTCCCGAATGGACTAACGAACGATGTTTTATCGCGATCTATTTCACGCACTTTCACTTGAACGAAGATCCAGGATTGACATGTAAAAGGTCTTTTCAGTAGCATGAAGTTGGTCACCCATCCATAATGGATAATACACAGGGGTGCTTATTTGGTTCAAAGCACGGTAATCCACGCATAGTCGCGTACTAGCATCTTTTTTTGGTACCAGTACAACTGGGACAGATCAGGCTGACTCGCACTCTTCTATGACACCATTTACAAGCAGTAGAACCAAGTTGCTGTATTGTCTGATAATAACTTATCTGACTGAAGGATAGGTACGTTCCATTGCAGTGAGCTTTCCCAAACCAAAGAACCCTTCTACGTAATCGCACCCAGTAAAAGTATAAACATCAACAGCAGCCGAAGCTTTATCTGAATCTGAACACAGAGATCTGCAATTAAGAAACTCGAAACCACTTGGTTTTTTCTTATGCATATACATATTCTGTTCGGTTAAATGGCTTATGTATGAGGCAATAATCCACACATCTGTGTCCTCAAAAACAACCGAATGAGAATCGCTTAATTGTGCCGTTTGAAAAAAGGCTCTAATATTCGCTTCAGATGGGGAGGATGCCTCAAATCATGGATCGCATTCGCCAGTTGCAAGGTTATAGGAAAGGTAGGCCTCTTGTGCAATACCAATCAGCATTATGATCATATTTGAACCATTCTTTTTAAAGAAATTCTTGTAGCCTCCGTTTGTTTTGCAGTTTCGAGAGGAAATAACGCCATGGTTTGCCTGTAGGCATTTGCTGGTCAGCCACATCAGGATATACATTTGGAACAAAGCTGTACGATTGCATTCGACGTTTCTGCTCATGTTGCTTCACACTTTCCATAAACACTCTCTCATCGTATATATTATTGATTAGATAAAAGGCTACGCCTTGAGGATGGCGATTAAGTATATAGTCTTGCAAGTGGGTACCTTATTTCAAGCCATTTCAACATCAACTATGACATGGTATTGTGTCGGTGGTAACACAGGCTGAAAGTTTAAAGATGTTGATGTTATAAATTTGGATTTAACAGGCCTATGAAACATGCCATCAGTTGAAAATAATGGTCAACTGATCTCTGCTAGTCTTTGTTGCAATAAATCTTCGAGCGTCATTGTGAAATTTTGTCTATAGTGGTCAACAGATCGACGACCTGTTTTGTTGCAACATGATCAACTGATTTTCTTAGTTGTTATTTTGTTTTATTAGGTATAGTTTTTGTGGCAAACGTCTTACTCTTCCGTTTGACCTCGGTCATTGAATTATCATCTTCATGGGCTGTGCGCAAAATATTTAGTACTTCAATTGTTGCTGGCTGATCAGTGCAAAGAGATCTGAGGATGGGTCAAGTAAGATCGCAAGGGTCTGTATCCCATTCCTCAAGTGCAACTTTTACAGAACTGATAACCTCGACATCTTTTTTCAATTTCGATGGCCCTAACTCTGGGTGACGATAAAGAGGTTTTTTCAAACATATAGCTTCTTGTAGTTGTTGCTTAATGTACAATACAGAAGGCCTACTTAGTATGCTAATTGCAATCATTGACAGCTTCTTGGAAAATCCTACCCAATCGCCACTTCTTCGATTTTTTGACTGTTTATTCATAGTCATTTCTAAAACTTGGTCAGGAGGTAATTTGCGTGTTACAGAAAATGAGCAGATGGCAGCCATATGTTCTTTCTCAGTTGGTGTTAAAGTAGACCTACGCCAGAAATAAATTGAAAGGTATCGCAAATAATTCACATTTACATGTGCTGCTAGGACGGGAAGCATTGTACGACAACTGTCTTGATACTCATCAAAACTACCCCACTTCTCAGACAGTGATAATGCTGGAATAGAACCTCGACGTCAATGATATAGGACAGTCAAAATTTTGCCATTTCTCATTCAGATTCTAAAATATCCGCAAATATGACACATGACACGTACAAAATTATTAAATGAATCTGACATAACGACTTCTTCTGCCTGTTCTTCTGTCGATGCCAATTCCTCCAGACTAAGACTACCAAGAATATCAGGGTGATTTTCTAAGCAGCATTGAATTTCCATGCGTAGTAGAGATTCTGATATTAATTTGTGTGGTTGCATTGCCCTGTTGTAATGTCTTCTTAGTGCTTGCTGGACACTACCTTGAGCAACAACACCTGACTCTATACAGCTAATTCCTTGATGTCACCACCTTCTAATCCACATTACTTTGTAGGCTGCAATGAAAACCGGTAAATGATGGTAAATTTTGGCCAATTGTGATATGACGAATTAATGCATAGTAGATTAGTCTATGAGCGGTGGGACGTCCTTTAGTAGTTTCAAATGATTTCGGCTGTACTTCACCACGTATTTTATTATCTTTTGGAATTATTGGGCAGCATATATTTTTTTCATTTCAGGCGTTGTTATAAATAAATCTAAATCAACTGCACCAGATTCACATTCAAATGAACTTTGTTGTACCATTATAACATTCTTATAATGACTTGTTTCGGAACCCGTAAGCCCGTCTTCTTGGAAGTCGTCATTATCCAAGACAACGGTACCTGGCTGGAATGTTGCTATCTGTTGAGGACATAGAAGATCTAGAAAACCTATTTGAAAATTTTCTTGCCTTCTGCGTTTCCGAATCGCCAACGCTGCTATATTCATCAAGGACATCATCATACGAAATTCCAATTTCTTTAGGATATTGGTAAGCTCCTTGCTGCCTGTTAGGTTATCCACAGACATGGACAGACTTACTTGCATTGGTTGACGTTTGCCAGTAATTAGGTGTGCAAGTAGTGCTATTGAATTATGTATTTCATAAGAACTACTGTCTACCTTTAGGACTTCAATCTGGAAAGGCCAGTGTGGGTGAGACATTTTGCGGTGCTTATTTTGTGAAATTTTAGCAACGTTCCTAATAATGACCGAGGTTTGCGTGCCCCAACTATTTACAGCACTCTCAACGTACACTCCCCCATGTTTTTTTAAAATGCCTATTGATGATTCGTTTCATCTGTATCTGGTTTGGAAGCCAATATCATCTCTAAAACGTTTTATTAGTTTCTCTCAAAGTGATCGTAGGGCGTGTCTATCGTCAAAAGTGTTCCTTATTTCTGCGTCTGAAATCAATAAGTCTTTTTGAATTTGTTCTTACTCATACAGCAAGTCTTTAAGCATGCAAACTTCTTTATTTTCGTCTAAGCATTCAACAACAAATTCACACAATTTATTGAATGCAACAGTTTGATTCTGTGCTACCCACTGAACTCTTTGCTGATGCTGTTCTTTTTTGTTTTCCGTCGCATTAGGTGGTAAATTGGTTTGAAGTAAATCTCCCAACAATCTTTGTGACATCGAATATTTGAAGCAGCGGCTTTCAGGATACCCCGAGGGATACCCCCAAAAACTTTCTGACCTAGTCTTGGTCAGCTCATCATCTTTAACAAATTCAACTGATTTGCAGAGGTGTTCCACGCATCTAACTTTTCTAGTCTGTGAAATTTTGTCGAATCTGAACTAATTACAACAAAAAAAAAAAAGGTCACTTATTAAAAACGCACGGGATGTGATGTGTCGATTGAACTGATAGCAGAATAGGGAAACATCGAAAATCGCCCTGTATCAATGGTACCATTGAAGATATCGCGATAAGGTTGTCAATCGACGTTTCTCGGAAATCGATCCCATAACATCTGAGTCAGTTTTTCTCTATCTGGTCCGGAAGTATATTTTTCCTGTTGAAATACTCCAAATTGCAGCACCCTGTATACAGGGCACCAAAATACTAGAGTGGTTGGAATGAAGCAAACCAAACAGGCTAAGTACAATAAGCTGTCTCGGGCATCAGTACTATACATGGGGACAATTTAGAGGCCTTTTAAAGTTGAGGTATTTCTTCTAAATAAATATTTCCCAAACTTCAAAATATCCAAACTGTACGTTTCTCGATTATAATAATAATTACACTAAACTAGAAATAATAATTAATAAAATTATCATAACAACCTGTCAAAAAGTTTACTTTAAGCTGCAGTGCGAAACATCATCAATCATGTATCGCTTTAAAAGGTAAGAACCATATTTTGTCAATATACAAAGTGAGTTTTAGCACAAACCAAACCATAAGTGAAACGCTTTAGAAGAAGCACACTTTATGCACAGGTACCATGTTTATCTTGTTCTTCCTCGTTATAAGTTTTATAAACTTGTTTTGCCATTCTCTATAAATGCCATTTTCATCCAAATACTTTAACCAAAAACTAAACTAGAAAAATTCTTCTTTCCAGATGGCTTTTGGTCGCAATAACATATCCAGAAACCGCAACAGTTGGGGTCCGATTTCCACATTGGGAAGTTTGGGTTTTCCTCGAGCCGATCCCGAAGAAGATTTGGCCGAAGAATATACGGAACGAATGATGTCCGCTCAGATGAGACAACTGGACCCGCTAAAAGAAGATCTCGCTGATTGGCTCAACAAGACTCTAGGTAATTGATTTTCGTATGTAAGCGAATTCTTCGAATCGAACCGATAAACCGTGGCGAGTCGTAAAACGGAATGCAATAAGGATATACGTGTTATTATATGGGCAGCTGTTGGGTGGGTGTTTAGAAGAAAACATCAAAGAGTTCAAGATCGGGCGTGCACTTACATAAAACAATTGTATAATAGAATTTGTCGTTGCTTGTATGCTGGAATTCAATTTGAATATTGAGTATTTCAGATTCTTTTTTTAGTTTTTCTTCTTTTGCTTCACCTTGTCGAGTGTAATCCAAACAAAGCCATAAAGACCATAGAATAATATACGCTACTTTTTTGTTTTCTCTTTGTATATGGTAGATCTTACTCCAACATTCTGCTGTAAATGTGGCGACAATATTAAGAAAACCTTTTGAACTGCATGAAACAAGTTAAAATTCCATGCACCTAAAATTTCCACTGTCGTAAATGATCAAAAACAGCTTTAATTTAAAATTCGGCTTCCATAATACATAAAATAATAATGATACATGCTCAAGCGGCCCAATCTGTTAAACACGTGACGAATGCATTTAATGGATGAGACACTGTTTTTGAGTGTTCAAGAGTTTTGTCATCGGATGCGACAGGAAACGGTCACTTCCTCTTGACTTTTTAATGCCTCTTTTTCATTACAAGTTTACGAATAGCCCATTTTCTGTTTTTTTAAAATTATTTTATTTCTCCTTGTTTCCGTGATCAAACATTATTTGTCGTGTATAATAATCTAGAGATATTTTTATTATTGGTCCTGTGCCAGGCACCGTTGCTCTATAATATTTTCCATCCAGATTTTGATCGACCCCCAGCTATTATAGCTACTTTGGCCATCATAAATGCTCGATTTCGTGATTGAAAAATTCGGAAACTGTGTCAGTCAGGCTAACTATCGTGCACGGATTTAATTTTTGCTGGAAATTGCTTGTCACGATATTTGCATGGGGTTTATTTATTTCAATTTTGTAAGACATTCAAAGACTGACCCATCTGAACCAGCTTCACGCCTTTTAAGCCATAAAGTTGAAAATATCGTAAAAGCGGTGAACCACATAATATATACGACCCAGTCGGTTGCTTTATACAATAATCCATGCACGCGAGATTACACATACACACATACATCCACCACAAACTATGCAATAAAATCCTTCAAAGTTATATATTATGTAAAATCGCCTTATTTGGACACTTTTTACAAAATAATGGTTTCTTTCTTTGATATCCGATCAATTGCATTTAATTTTATCATTTTTCTGCTCAGCCATTAAACCGTATAAAGACTATACAGTTTAAAAAAATTAAAAATGTATAACATAGATCTATTAACAACAAGACGCACTAATGCTCTTTTGTCGAGGTTAATTTTGGGCGCGGTCACACTTTCGTGGAACGGTAGAATGCACCCATTGTTATCCGATTAGGCGATAAATGCCTTTGTGACTGTATGACGACATTATTTTTAATGGTATTGCTGACATATGAAACATGACACTTTAGGGGATAGACGATGTGTGAGGTCAGTAGACAGTAGTATACTTTAGTATTCTGCCATGAGACGAAAAGAAACATGATGCACGAGGAACAATTATTTATGAAACTTGTCTTGGAAAAAACACGAAGCTAACTGAAGTTTGCAAAAACGTTTTTATTTTTGCATGGTGGGCTTATTTGGTTGTTGTTGGAAACAACTCCAAAGATGTTGAAGACTTTGAATGTCTCAAAAGGAAGATTCAATGTTCTAAGAAGTCTTCAAAGTCTTTGATTTTTAACTGAAGATACACAGTAGTCTTATGTGAAAATTCCGTCTTAAAAAGCTCTTGATTCACAACCTTGAAAGACTAGAATGCTCTCAACGCCTTAGAATAAAGATTCTCGAAGACTTGTTTTTTAAGGTTTTAACATATAGACTATGCTGACTTAAGACCTAAGAAATTCTAAAGCCACCCAAAAATGTAGAAACTTTGATCATTCTAAATTCTTCATTCAACGTCTTTGAAGACTTTGAAATTCCTAATAATTTATTATTGACTTCACAATGTCTCCAAGGTTATGATTCACGACTAGACTCCTGCAAAGGTTTTTAATTTTCGAAACTTCAAAAACGCCAAAAAATCTAGACTTACAAGTTTGTAAGGGATTTGATTCAAAGTCTTTGATGAATCGTAATTCTCCGAACAACTCTTATAGATCTCGAAGGAAGGATTCTTTTATTAAGGCTCATGACTGAAGAAGCTGAGGATTTTGATGTCTCTATGTGGATTAATTTTTGAAATAAGGATTCAAAAATTACTTAGACAGAACATTGAAGATCAGAGACTCTACTCTAGAAACTCTGCTGATTTGAAACCTAAAATCGAATCCTATAAAGATTTTTCATTTTCAGCTTGGAGGAATCCTAATACTCCGAACAAATCTTATCTTATCATAGAGATCACAAAAAGGAGTCTTTTAAGCCTCATGACTGAAGAATCTGAGGACTTTGATGTCTCTATGTAGATTAGTTTTTGAAATAAAAATTCAAAAATTGCTTGGACTCAACATTGAAGATCAAAGACTACTCTAAAGACTCAGATTTGAAACCTAATATTGAATCCTACAAAGCTTCTATATTCACAGCTCATCGAAACTTTAAATATGCCAAAAAATCTAAACTTGCAAGATTCTAAGGTACTTGATCTAAAGCCTCGGAACTTGGAAGAATCCTAATACTTCAAACAACGAGATCTTGAAGAATCTTGAAGCTCATGACTGAAAACTCTGGGGATTTTGAAGTCTCTGAAGACTAATTTTTTTAAATATTTTTAAATAGGGAATTTACTGGGCTTAGATCAAAAGATACAAAAGTTGCCATCGTCTTGATCATTAATTCTAGGGCCATTGCAAACTAAAAATTCTGAAAATCCTGAAGGTTCCGAAATGTCTTTAGGATAAAGACTCGAAAGACCATAGCTTTGGAGACCAATGAAAGATTCTAGGGCACTTGATCTAAAGCCTTAAAACTTGGAAGAATCCTAATACTTTGAACAACTTAGAGATCTTGAAGAGTTTTGAGGCTTATGACTGAAAACTCTGGGGATTTTGAAGTCTCTGAGACTCATTTTTCTAAATATTTTGAAATAAGGAGTTTGCTGGGCTAAGATCAGAAGACACAAAAGATGGCGTCTTGAATAATTATTTTAGGGCCATTGCGAACTAAAGATTCTGAAGATCCTGAAAGTTTCGAAATGTCTTGAGGATAAAGACTCAAAGGACCAAAGCATTGGAGACCAATGCAAGATTCTAAGGACTTGATCTAAAACCTTGGAACTTGGAAGAATCCTAATACTTTGAACAAGTTAGAGATCTTGAAGAGTCTTGAGGCTCATGACTGAAAACTGTGGGAATTTTGAAGTCTCTGAAGACTGAGTTTTTTAAATACCTATTTTGAAATGAGGACTTTACTGAGCTTAGATCAGAAGATACAAAAGATGTCGGAGTCTTGATTATTAATCCTAGAGCCATTGCAAGCTAAAGATTCTGAAGATCCTGAAGGTTTCGAAATGTCTTGAGGATGAAGACTCTAAAGACCATATAGCTTTGGAGACCAATGCAAGATTCTAAGGCACTTGATCTAAAGCCTCGAATCTTGGAAGAATCTTAATACTTTGAACAACTTGAGATCTTGAAGAGTCTTGAGGCTCGTGACTGAAAACTCTGGAGATCAGAAGATATAAAAGATGTCGACGTCTTGATCAATTATTCTAGGGCCATTGCAAACTAAAGATTCTGAACATCCTGGAGGTTTCGAAATGCCTTGAGGGTAAAGACTTTAAAGACCATAGCTTTGGAGACCAATGGAAGATTCTAAGATATTTGATCTAAAGCCTTGGAACTTGGAAGAATCCTAATACTTTGAACAACCTAAAGATCTTGAAGAGTCTTGAGGCTCATGACTGAAGACTCTGGGGATTTTGAAGTCCATGAAGACTAATTTTTTTTAAATATTTTGAAATAAGGACTTTACTGAGCTAAGATCAGAAGATACAAAAGATGTCGGCGTTTTGATCAATTATTCTAGGACCATTGCAAACTAAAGAGTCTGAAGATCCTGTAGGCTTCGAAATGTCTTGAGGATGAAGACTCCAAAGACCATAGCTTTGGAGACCAATGCAAGATTCTAAGGCACTTGATCTAAAGCCTTGGAACTTGGAAGAATCCTAATACTTTGAACAACTTAGAGATCTTGAAGAGTCTTGAGGGTCATGACTGAAGACTCTGGGGATTTTGAAGTCTCTGATGGAGACTATTTTTTTAAATATCTTGAAATAAGGACTTTACTAAGATCAGAAGATAAAAAAGATGCCGGCGTCATGATCAATTATTCTATGGTCATTGCAAACTAGAGCTCTAAAGATCATGAAGGATAAATACTCTAAAGACCATAGCTTTGGAGACCAATGCAAGATTCTAAGGCACTTGATCCAAAGCCTTGGAACTTGGAAGAATCCTAATACTTTGAATATCTTAAAGATCTTGAAGAGTCTTGAGGCTCATGACTGAAAACTGTGGAGATTTTGAAGTATCTGAAGACTATTTTTTGTTTGAATATTTTGAAATAAGGACTTTACTGAGCTAAGATCAGAATATACAAAAGATGGCTTCTTGATCAATTATTCTAGGGCCATTGCAAACGAAAGATTCTGAAGATCCTGAAAGTTTCGAAATGTCTTGAGGATAAAGACTCTAAAGACCATAGCGTTGGAGACCAATACAAGATTCTGAGGCACTCGAACTAAAGCCTTGGAGCTTGGAAGAATCTTAATACTTTGAACAACTAAGAGATCTTGAGGAGTTTTGAGGCTCATGACTGAAAACTCTGGGGATTTTGAAGTCTCTGAAGACTCATTTTTTTAAAAATTATGAAATAGGGACTTTACTGAGCTAAGATCAGAAGATACAAAAGATGGCTTCTTGATCAATTATTCTAGGG